CGCAGCCCCGCGGAGGCGCCCGCCCGCCCGGCCGGTCGCCCGCCGCGCCCCCCTCGCCGCGCCCGCCCTCCGCGCCCTCCATCGATCCGGCGCCGCCGCGATCGGAAATTGATCCTCTTTGTTCGATTCATCGATCCCGACAAGATGGCGCCGCCGCCGCGGTTTGTCCCGGGATGGGGGCCCGCGCCCCCGCCAGAGCCCGCGCCGCGCCCGAGCGGCTTCTCTCGGGGTGCCCCCGCCCCGGGCGCGCGGGCGGGGGGGCGCCGCGGGGGCGAGGAAGAGGAGGCGCCGCTCCTCTTCCTCGCCTCTTCCTCGCCCTCGCCGCGGGGGTGGCCCTCCCCGTGGCAGCCTCCGTCCTTGTGGCCCCCTCCCGGCACCCCCGGCCACAGTTTCCTGGAGCAGCCCCCCCGGCGGCGAGCCCCCCAGCTGGGACGGAGAGGAGGGCCAGGACGGGCAACTTGGGAAGGGGCTCTCTGGTTTTCGCCTGGCTTGTTTCACACCCCCCGCCGGAGAGGACGACCCGCCTGCCCCTCTCGCTGCCCCTGCCCCCCCCCCCCCGGAAAGAGAAAGTAAAGAAAAACAATATTTGCAAGTGTGTTTTTCTGCCCCCCCCCGGTTATGGATCTTCAGGAATATCGCCCCTCTTTCTTCTAATAGCCGGTAGTTTTATGGGGCGGGAGGGGGGAGAAATGTACAGCAAGTGACATAGCTGGAGAAAAGTGCCTGTATGCTTTGGGGGGGCTTTCATCTAAGTTTTTCTCTTTTTGTACCCGTCCTTGACAGTGTTCTACTTTAGAAACGTGCAAACAACCCCCAAAGTCGAGCCTCTTTTAATTTCTCATCGTGTTTCTCTCACCCCCCCCCCCATAGGCCTCTCCTTGTTTCCCCCATGCTCTGCTCCCCTTCCTTCCAACAGCCCCCCCCCCCATTTTATGGAAGAAGTGTTACAGGAAAATCCTCTGTGTACACACGTGTGTGTGTGTGTGTGTGTGTGTGTGACCAGTTCTGATGCAAAATATTTCTACTTCTGTTCTTAATTTCTCTCCCCCACCCCAAACATACACGCACGCACGCACACACTGAAAATGAAGCTCGTGGGAAACTTTGCGGGACTTCATGCACGGAGGAGGAGAAGGGGAGAAATGAGGGAAGAAAGGCGCGCTCGGCTCCCCCCCCCATAACAGTAGCTTTGACCTGGGGGAAGGTCAGTGGGAACCCTCTGTCTGCCCCCCTCCCATTAAAGCTCTACCCATTGTGCCTTCCTCCCTCCTTCCCTTGCTCTGTTTATGTGGGACTGGAAAAGGGGGTATTTAGTAATGGATTTGGCCTCAAGACGTTTCCTATATTTTGGGGAGGGGGAACCCCAAACAGCCCTGGTCTTGAGGTGTGTGCGCAAGGGGGGGATGAGTCTTTGAATGACCGGCTTCCTTCCTCCTCGAAATGATGCTTGCTCTGTATGAAGTGCCTTTTTGGGGGCGGGGGGCAGGCTGCTGCTGAGTTGTGCTAATTGCTGCGTGGCTTGGTGGGGCCCTCTGCGGCTTCTTCCCCACCAACATTTTTGGCCAAAGCCAGCGGCAGGGTGGGGGGGGGGTGTATGTTCCATTGGGAAATAATGCTTATTCTCTACGCTGGCTCGCATCTCTATATTTGGGAGAAGCATTATCTTTCCTCTTGTTCTCTGTTTTCTAGTCAGACTCCCCCAGGAGCAGATCTGGGGGGGCAAAGGGGGGTAGGATTCCTTCATACATAGTGTGTGGAGGATGTATGAACGAGGGAGCGCACAAGGTCAGAAGAGAGGACTCCTTTAACCCTGGCACTGGGTTGAGTCTGGGGGAAGTGCTTTACTGCTCCTTTCAGACAGGCGGGGGGGTGCTTTATGGTGTGGGGGACAAGAACTGTCTGGTGCTCTTGCACTCCAGGGAAAGACCCTCTGGTTCTTCAGGAAGAGAGCTGGGAGCAGGCTGTGGGTGTATAAGCCCCCGTGTCCCGTGTTTATCCTCGCACAAATCCCATGGAATTCGCTAAGACTTCCAAGTAAGGGTGCACAGGAGCTGAGCCTCAGGAAAAGCCCCCTGCTCCAGTCGGAGGTTGAAGGTGTGGGGGGAGGGCGCTTCTCCCACCCAGCTTGCTTGATCCCACCACCTCCTTCGAGGAGAATTGGAGGTCCATGTGATGTTTGTCATGGGTTGTTGTGTTCACGGTGGTGGCAGTGTGTGTCATTCAACCTTCTGTTGTAGCTCAGAGGCCCTAAGGCTGCAATCGGAACCCCCCAGGTTTGTAGCCACGGTGGTTACAACTCTGTTGGGAACTTGCATTTCTCTCAGGGGAGATTATTGGTCCCGTAAGTTTCAAATGCTGCGGGGGAGGCATGGCTCCCAAGAGGTGTCTCCTACTGCTTTTGTTGGCTCGCTACTTTCCTCAAATCTGGGGAGCTATTTCTGTGCCTGTGTCGAGCTTGTGTGTTTGTGTGAATTTCACTAGGGGTCACGCAAGTTGCCTCTTCGCACTTCTCCGGTACCGTGTTCCACCTGGGTATCCCTTTCACAACTAGGATGAGGAGGTTCTGGGCGCCATCATTTCTGGGGGGGGGGCTTCCTCCTGGTTCAGACATTTTCGCGTCCCTAAGTTTGTACATGCCTGTTCGCCAAACCGTTTGTTGCCCTCCCTGTTTACTTCTGACATACCCTTCCCTTTCCCCCTTCCTATGGATTTCAGTTTGGTGGTGATCAAGGGGAGGACTGCTGTGGTGAGTCCCACCTGGAACTGGGAAGCTTGCTTGCTGCTTTGGCACTGTGGTTCTCGCTGCTGCCATTGTTGGATGGCCTGGGGAGCCTCGTGGGGGCTGCCACAAGGCCCTGTGCTGCTGTGCACAGGATTCGGGCGGGCCCTGCTTGCCTTATCTCTGAGTGCCTGTTATGGGCAGCAGCGAGGCCTCTGTGCCTGGCGCTGGGGAAGAAGGCCCTTTTCGCAGCAATGCCTTCTCTCACTCTGGCACCCTTTCCTGTAAAACTTTCTGGCAGCTGGTGCCCCTCTCTCCTCTCTCTTTCGTGTGCATATCATGCTCAGAGGCTGCATTCAAGGGGGGAGGAGAGTGAGCGAAGGCTGCTGGCCTTGTTTGGGTGTGCAGTTCCCTGATGTAATTGCAGATGTGCTGTTTAATAACACAGCTCAGGTATGTGTGTATAAATACATAAATATGAACAGCAAGTAGGAAGAGTGCAAGAGGAATAGGAATCTTCCCTGTCTGTCGATCAGTGTTTTTGCAGCACGGATTGGTTGATCTGGGGCAGGGAAATTGTGCCCAGCCTCTTTAAATGCTCAGCATGTAAATTCATTTGGCTAGAAACCTGGCTTCCCCCTCCCTTCCTTTCCTCTCACCCCTGTTCAGCCAATGCCCACGCTGGAGCTGCGAGCAGTTCAGCTTGGAAGGAGCCGGAAGTAATGCTTACATAGATGTTTGGCATAGCTGAAGTGGAGTTAAAGGTGAGGTGTGTGTCCTGGCAGTGTAGATGGGGTGCCGGATTGGACTGTGCGCTCTTGGGAGAAGCCCTAAGGGATGACTGGGTAGCAAAACTTGCTTTTGGGCAGCTCTGTTGCCACTCCTGCAAATAACCGAAGGTTGGACACTGAAGCTTTGAAAAGCAGTTTGGGGGTGACAAATGTAAAATGCTGCTTAACTACTGGGAGGTTTTCTTTCTTTCCTTTTTAAAAGAGGCTTTGGATTAAGGCAGACTTGGATGAACTTACTTTACTTGAAAGGGTTTTTAAAACTGACTTAGAATACCTACAGGAATTCAGGAAATGAGATCCAGATGCAAGATTGTATAAAATAAAATAGATTAGATTAAGATGTAGTTAAACATGGTCTGACAACTTTAATTGTAGCTGAGTTCATTTTGCCTGTATGTTGTAATTGCGCTGAATGGAAAAGTTTGCACGTCCCATGAGAATTATCCTAAAATGTTTTGTTTGCTACTGCAGAGGTAGTTCTAGAAATATGGTTTTTGTGCAAATAAAACTTGAACCACTGTTTATTGATTAAAACTGATCATCTCAGTGTGTGTGCTTATGTAAATTAAATTCTGGAATAGAAAAGAATGCAACCAAATGGTGGTTTGATAAATTGTTTTTGCTCTTGCTTTGTAAAAATAGCTCAGCTTAATTCCCTCTGCCTACTGTAAAACTTGGTTTGGCACATTTGTGTAAACTTCAATCTTGTTTTTGTCAAACTAAATGTGACCCTGTTCTCAGTAGTGCTGGATTTCTTGTTGAAACCTTCTGGCGATACTGGCGGAGGTTTCTGTTTGATTATTAAATTTCTACACAAAATGGTTTGTATTTCTTTTTGCTTTGGATATCCTGGCTGTGCCTTAATTGGCTGTCTTACTGGGAAGATGGTATGCAACTGTTCTCCTACCTACAGAGAAGACAAAGAGATGTAAAACATAGTATAATGCAGATTTAATTGCTACCCTCTGCATAAGGCATGGCGTACCCAGAAGCCTCAATGAACTTGTACTGGCTGTTGGTTCCAGTACATGGGAACAGGGCAGTGGCTGGCAGGCTGCCCTGTAAACCTTCTTATCCCATTCTCCTAGGAAGCAGGGGTTCCATTGCACTCCCTTCTGACGTCGCCTCACCTTTTTCTCAAAGCAGAGATGAAAAAAAAATCAATACTGTGAGATACTTTTTCTTTCTGGGTGTCTGGATTGGTGGTCCCTCTCTCTCTGTCTCTCTCCCCCTCCCCCCATCCCAAATGTGGGAAATGGGTCTTGTCATGAAGCTGCTTCCTCTTGGCTGGGAAAACTTGCCAAGAAGATACCTAAAAATGTGGCCGGGGGTGGGCACCCGCAGGGATGTCTTGGACCAGGAGCCACTGCAGGATTAGTTAGAGAGGCCTTTGGAAATGTGGTGCTTCATGCAGCAGCTATTCCAGGGCACCAGGCTTAGTTTGCAATTCCTTCTTAGATAAGCCAGCTGAAGTTTAAAAAAATGCTCCTGTTCCAGGGGCTTCAATTGTCAAGTCCTCTCCACTCATGCCCAATTTCCTTTTAAGGGTTCAAAGAACTAATGCAGGGGGGGAAGTATCTGGTCAGAATGGGTCACGGAAGGCCTGATGCAAATTTAAGTAATTTCATCCATCTGGTTCCCATAAGGATAGCATGCTGTATATCTGCAGCAGTCTGGGATAATGTGCACACAGGCCTCTGGTGTGTGCTTTCTCTGCCCAATTTATGGAAGATTGTGCAGTTTATAAGTAACTGATGCTGCTTGTGCTCCATCAGGTAGAAATTTTCTAGAGGCTCTAGTAGTGGTTTGAGGCTACCTATGAGGTCATATCAGTTCCAAGCCACTGCTCCACCCCTTTCTTGCCTGAGAAAACCAAGGCGTTCAGATGAAAATTTTCTGGTGGGGGACTAGGACAGGTATGCAGATTGCGTAGTGGTAACCGCCCCTTCAGATGCCTGACAGACAGCAGCTCTTCAGCTTTTCCTGCTTCGTAAAATACAGCTTCAGGCTCCTCAGTCCTACATTTGAGATGGTATCAGTGTGAATTTTTTAAAAGCCAAGAATGAAGTGTGGGATTGACACATCCTTTCTTGTTCTCCTTTTCATGAGCTCACTTGTTATGGGAGGGCCTGCCTGGCCAAGGTTGTACTGATGACAGGTATACCAGAGTAGTACTTCTCAAGTGCTGCTCAGAGGCTGGGTCTGTGGGACTGGAATGTCCAAGGTGGGCACAGTGGCAGGATCCCCAGTCAACACAGAAAGCTTTGGAAGTATGCTATTTTTCCTGGCTCACTTCCTAGATTTGTTTGGTCTTATCCTCTCCTGAGCCAAGTTAACCAGGCCCTGGGAAGATGGCATCAGCCAAGGTTCCTGAGCTCCCTAGTCACTAAACATACATGGTGGGTTGACAGGTGGGCTCAGGTTAGCTTCAGACTTGGTTTTTTCATGGGGTACCAGCTGCCATAGATGTAGGATTGTGCCCCACCCCCACCCCCCGTCTGAGGCAGCTTGAATCTGCTTGCCCTGCCTTTGACTCCTATCTTCTCTTCCTTCCTGGTTTCCCTTTCTTACGGGATGGTCTGGCTATGAACCCTTGGCCTGACCTTGTCTCAGAGACAAACGCCCAGTTGGTTCCCCAAACACTGTTTGAGCATCACCCCGTGCATTTGTACACCAGTACCCCTTACTCTTGTGACCAGTGTCGTGCTGCATCCAACCCTTGTGTGGATGTTGTGCCTTACTCATAAATTTATAATAACTGGGTGCTTTATCTTACTGATTCATAGCAAGTTGGTGTAAATATTTCCGTCTAATGGACACTTTTCTTGGATCTGCTGCACTACTTAGAATGGGAATGCTCTCCTTGATCCAGAGCACGATTTCTCTTGGGACTTTGCAGTCAATAGCGGAGCAGACAGCTTTCTTATGTTACACCTTTCTACAGCCCTGTAAAGTAGGCTAGGCTGAGAGAGCATGAATTGCAGACAGCCTGCTGGGTGAGCTTCATGGCTGAATCGGGATTTGAACTTGGTTCTCTGCATATCCAAATTAGCCATGCAGCCTTAAACATAGTCTGCGTGCATTGAAGGATAAAGTGTCCCCTCTGTACAAATTCTCAGTACAAGTTTTTTCCACTTTTACTCTTTAGGATGGGAGCTAGTAAACATTGGTGTAGCAAGTGAGCCAGGTGCTGTTTGCTCATTTTGTTGGCTTGGGTTCCAGATGTTAGAGATGACCCTATGGAGGGTGGGTGAAGCTCCATTTTTTCCTGTTCAACACTTTCCTCAGCTCATGGTTGGATGATGCACATTCAGAATTTGTTTTATCTTTATCCAGACTTTTTCACATAAGGAAGATCATTCTGCAGTGCGCACAGGAAGCCCTTTCCTTTTGGAAACCTGCTCTTTAAAATTAAGAAAGAAGAGCTTTCAGCATTGCAGCCAGATTTCAGTACCTAACTTTTCTGAGGGTGGGGAGACAGTGAGGGAACATTGAAGGCCGAAGCATGTTAAAACTCACAGACTTAAATGTTCAGGGAAAAGGCCTGAGTTAAAATATGCTGGCCTTGTTTTATCCATGCAATATATTTCTGGATGGAATGCGGGGCTCCCCTACCCTTGGAAACCTGACCTGATTGGTGAGCAGTGGTCAGCTCTGCTATGGGACAATTGCACTTTCTAAATTAGGTATCGAATGCTGCTGACACAGTAACTGATTGCCAAATTATATTTAATAATGGCTGAAGGGGGTAGTCATTGGATTAATAATAAACTTGGTAGTGCGGGCAGATCCCTGGAGGCATCTGAATGCCATGGCAATGAGCCTGGCTTTTAAACACTTTAAGTGGGCAGTTAAAGTTCTGGGCCGTGGAATATCTCTGACTCCTAGGGTTGTGGGGTTTGATAACACATTATGCCAGCCGTGTGGGATTTTCTAGCATCCATTTCCCATGGCTGGCCGTTGTGCAGGGGGATTCATGTAATGTGTAGGAATACCACTAGGTCCTCCAGACTGATAACAGTGTGGGAGTTCGCATTGGCACCGAGAGAATTCACATTGTCTGTGGGATCCACGGAAGCACATCCGTGCATTCCTCTTCTCCTGCACACTGCCTTGTGGCTCCAGGTCTTTCACGGGGCTGAAGTCATGTTTAAGTGGTCCAGGTGTTGCTTCTGGTCCCATGGAGATGGGGCCGGCGGGCAGATTTATTTCCGTTCTTCCTCTAGAATGCCATGCTATTTGTGTGCCTCATTTATTAGGCGTGGCTTGTACAGGCAAACTGTGAGTGATTAATGGAAGAAGACCATCTCAGCCTCATCTTGTCCTCCATTTCTGAGGCTTTAAATGCCAGATTCGGGCATAGTAAAATCATGCCAAGTCAGGCCACTGGTTTCCCTGGCCCAGAAGAAGGGGCCATTCAGGGTTCCCGCATGGAATATGGTTTTTTCCTTACATGAGACTTTGCTAGCAGACATCCTTTTTAATTGTAGGTGCCAATGTTTGAGTGTGGCACGTCAATATACAAAGCGCGGGCTGTCCTTTTGAGCTTTAGGCTGTTCTCCATGAATATAGGGGGATAAGTTACGGCAGCCTCAGCTCACTTTTTACATTGACCTGCATTCTGTACTTTATACAAATAGTGGTAAAGGAAAGCAGACAGTT